CTGCATCTAACCATGTATAAAAATCGAAAAAATAAAAACTGCTCGAATTTTGCATTGCTTCCACCTTAGATTTTATATTAAAAGGGTGTTATAGTGTGACTCGCTTATATATCTTTTATTTTCTTTCTCTCTTCTTTCCTTTTCATCATCTAAATATTTCTCTTCTCTTGATGTTGTTCAGATATATTCCATTCTTTGTCATGTTTTCTCTCTAGGATGTTTAGTTTTTTTCTAGCTTATTCATATATATATACATAGTTACCATTTCTGCAATAAAGTAGTAGCTCTTTATTGATCTGTCAAATCAATCACCCGTTAACAACGGGGCAATACGAATTCATTTCTATATACAAATACGTATTTTTTCGAATTTTATAAAATAAAATATAAAAACAAAAAGAGGCAGACCATCTAAAGCAAAAAAAGCTTTATTCACCCAATAATATACTATTTTTTCATTTTTCTTATTTTTTTCAATTGTAAATAACTTTTCTATTTCTCTAATTCATATAAAATAATGTAGTTTTTCTTTGTTTTATTGCTAAAATATGAAATTACTACTGCTACTTAATGAATTAATTATTGTACATTTAATAGTATAAAATTACTCAAATAAAGTTTTTTTATTACTCAAAAATTATTGCTAAATCGTATTTTAATTATTGCTCATTCCAGTATTTTTATTGCCTAAATGAATACTAGCCAAAAAAACAAATTAAACCATGGTATAGTACACATTTTTTCCAACCTTCGATTTATTCTCTCTCTCTCCATCGATTAAGCTGCTTGAGCGATGAGTGAGAGAACAAGCAAAAAAACGATAATATAGGTATGAAAAAAAATAAGATATCTCAATACTATATGAACATGTGCTATTTTACGTATATGGATGAATGCACACAAGCCAAACTTATTTTTTCGATGTCTGTATAAACAACGTAATGCTTTCATTTTTTTGCATAGAATAGCTTCGATTTATTACACCATTACTCTGCTCGTTAGTACAAAAGATTTCGTAAGAATACACTGAGCAAACGTAAGTTTTTTTAAAAATTAGATACTCTTCAGAAGACGTTTTTCATCATCAGTGTCCAGCGGATTTTTCTATCCTTAAGTAATACCAATAACGAAGGAACATTCCCAAGTAATCCGCTCTGTTCACATTCATATTATGCCCATTTATAGAGGACTATTGGATTAGAATAATCGCCAAATGGTTTGTGCTCTTGTTGGAATTTGACTGACATATTGAATTTTTAGTGGATTATTCCTACAGGACATTAATTTTCGAATAAAATCATATGTTCTACTGGCATATGAATCTGTTAACATATCAATACTTTGCATCGTATATATTTGTAGAATAGTACCTTTTTTGAAAAAATTTGTATTTCAAAGATGCAATATCTAAAAATGATAAAACTCTATATATAAGCTAGTCGTAGCAAGACCTTCATGTTGACAAAGTTTTAGATGAAAATTCGAAGATATGATTTTACTCGAAAACTAACGTCCTATAGAAAAAACTCACGAAAAATTAGAAATTTCGGCCACATCTCAACAAGAGCATGAACTCTTTGGAGATTATTCTAATCTAATGATCGCCTACATATGGGTATAATATGAATGTAAACAGAGCGGATCACTTGGGAATGTTCTCTCGTAAACTTGTGTAATATTGTTTTTGTATCACAGTAATTACTTTTCAGCCGACAAAAATCTTTGGAAGTTCTGTATGAAATGAATAGCAGACATTAATTATTATAGTGTCATTTTTCTCACCAAGCGTCCATAGTAAGAATTGTCAATACGTTTTGTGAGTTCCAACGTAGAAAAAAGTCGTTCAGAATTGTATTCCTTTTAGTACTTGAAGAGGTTTGACCTCGCAAAAAGTTAGATATGACGCTGTGCAGAAAACAAGTGCTTCAGGATATTTTCGTGGAAGAGGTTCTCTTCAACTGAGTTTTGTGAAAGAATATGCTTAGGGTATTATTTTCAGAACGAATAGTTTTAATTAAATAGTAGCTGTTTTTGCGATATCAACAGAATTCGAGCTGGTAGCTCTTGAGAAAACCTTATTTCCCCATAAAATACCTCTGTGGTTCGGATTATTCAGAAAATTTTCAAGTCACAATGAAGAAGTGTGATAATAGGCTCATTTGATGCTTGTATTATTCGAAACCCTATGATGAAGATAAAAATTATAAGAGATTTTTCAGGAAAAGAAAATGAGCATGCAGATTTGAAGAAAGGACAACTTTGTTGAAATACCTCTAGCTCTAAAATTTTGCTGTGTATTTTTCTGTCACGACGAATGATCATAAGTGCAAAGCAATTTAATTTTCCCATGATTCGATAGCGCATGCATAGCGCTAGAAAATAATGGTGCTCTAGCATAAATGACCGCCTAAGTTTTTGCTCGACATCTATTTGCATTTTGATAGCGTCGAACGGAACTTTCTCAACAAAGTCAACATTAAATACCCTTTAAAACCCTAGAGAAGTAATGGCTATAGACAGAAAAGTAACGAAAGTGGCATAAGAATGGTCCAAATATGGGATATCAACAATTTTCATGGGTTGATAGAGCTCATTTATATTTGTCTGCTCTTGTTTCAAACCATAAAGACAAATTAAACAAACATTTCTGTTGATCTTTGAAAACTGTGCTCTGTAGTGTGCATAAGGGCTCTTCGAGAGTGTGGGTGTGATTCTAAGGTTTTTCCACACTCATACTTACATCCAAATATGCAGAAAAGTTAGAATAGAACTCCTTAATGACAAACCTCTATGTCCTTGCAAACCTTTTCGTTCTGTAAACAGGTATTTTTTATACCAGAAAGACGAATTCTCGGGTAAAGAGAAAATGGAAAATTATTACCTGTTAACCTCGATGATGACAAGAAAGAAGAACTAACTCTTCAAATAAGGGTAGGTTTCAGAATAAAACCTAAAATATGGGAATTGCTTTTATCCTCATGTCAAAGTTGTCTTTTGTTTATAATCATCCAAAGTCGCGCATTGACTAATTGTGTCTGCAAAAAATGTGACCAAAGATTATATCATGGATATTATTGATATCGAAAGTCACTGACATGACATGCGAAACAAAAAAAACTAGGCGCATATGTGTCTTCTTTTCTCTCGTTCCGCCTCCAGTGTGTTATATACAGCACGTATCGAATAAAAATTTATTCATTATATCCATATGCTTATTCAAATAATCTTTGCATATTTCTAGTCGAACCAGCCTTTCTCAATTCAAAGAAAGTCGTCATGTTATATTCGCGTGTGTTGATAGTCCTCACATTTATGGTGCTTATCTTCTATGTGGGCATTGCGGCTTCTAAAAAACGAAAATCACATATAGATTTTCCAACTCTTCCGATGCATGGAATAAAGAAAGTTTGTCGTGATGTCAAGCTTCGCGTCAATTCTATTCAAGAAAGCCGATGTCCAAAAAACGTACAATGTATCTGGGCTGGACAAGCGAAGGTGCAACTGCGTCTTTTAAAAAAGAAGGCTTCGCGTACTGTAGATCTGATTATTGGTGCACGACCTCAAAATAGTGCTCAAGTGACTTTGGGTACAGCTGCGTACAATGTTACCCTTCAAGATGTTGTCCCATATCCTGGAACGGATAACACGCCATCCAAAGCCGTTCTTCAAATCACGTGTCCATAGAATTTTGCTGGGAGTTCGAAAAAATAGTGTGACATGTATTGTTTTTCTTAATATGTTAACGAAATATACATGAAATTTATCTATACTTCACGCGTGAGCGGGAACAGTGAAACACAAAGCTAGTCTCTCCATGAATAGAAGTTTGATGCTTTTATAACTTGCAGCGTTCATTTGTCAATATTGTGGCAATTGATCGAATGATTTTGGATCCGCATAGTCACATTGTTGATTTCTTTTCTGAAGGCCTACGAATACTTCCTCGAGAGTCTCACTTTCTTGGACTGATAATGACTTTCGTGTGAATCTTCTTTTCATCATTATCTTCAATAACTCTTTGAACGATTTTTGTCGCTAAGACAACTAATGATGCTTTCCTAGTTGCATGTGAACAGTACAGAGGAGTACGAAACAGAACTGCATGATAGGTATTATTCATCCACAAATATCTTATCCTGTGTAGGTTGATTCTGTTTCTTCATTAATCATCATGGGTGGCACTATATTGTGTAGGACAAATACTGCAATAATGTTATAAGTAGAAATGAATATATTGTGATTTCATTAATACAAAAGACTTCGTTTTGTTTGTTT